TATTTCTGCCAAACCGTAAATACCTAGGTGTCCATACTCATGTCCAGATGAGGACATGTGTAGTTCAAGGTTATGTGGAAGTCACGAAAAGATCGGCCCACTAGTTTCCCAGATAGGGTTCTTTTAAATTCTCAAGGTCATATATTTTCACGGTTATTTCTGCCAAAGCGTAAATGCCTGGTTGATCATACTCATGTTAAAATGTGGTCACGTATAGGTCAAGGTCATATGGAAGTTACGACAAGATCGGCCCACTAGTTACCTAGATATGCGTCTTTAAAATTATCAAGGTCATATCTTTCAACGCTTATTTTTGCCAAACCATAAATACCTGATTGACAATACTCATGTCAAAATTAGGTCACGTATAGGTCAACGTCCTGTGGAAGTCACGAAAAAATCGGCGCAATAGTTTGCCAGATACAGGTCTTCAAAAATTTCAAGGTCATATATTTCACGCTCATTTCTGCTAAATAGTAAATACCTGGTTGACCATACTCATGTTAAAATGAGGTGACGGATAGGTCGAGGTCATGTGAAGACCACGACAAGATCACGCAAACTGTTTGAGAATTAGAGGCCTCAAACATTTCAAGGTCATTCGAAATACTATTTTCTCACGCATATACATAGAGAGTCTGAGCTAAATTGCACAGGTCGTGTATATGTCATAGACATATCAAGGTCATGCAAAGGTCACAATATATACTCAGCGCTTCTTTTGTGTTGGGATAGATTACGTTACCTTGGGTTAGGTCAGGTTGGGTTAGTATAACAAGTTTCATTTGATCTTCTGTCCATTGTCCCTATTTCTTTTTTGCATTGGGCTCGCCGTTCTTCATTCTAATATAAAATCCAATTTTAATCCCTGAAACAAAATAAAGAAACACCATACCAGTTATCTCTCCAATAGTAAAGATAACAGAGTTTATATAATAATCAGTGGTAAAAACAGAAGCAAACTAAATTGTATTTATTCTTAAATAATATTTTCGAGAATTGTTGTTTGTCCGGTACTACCAGAAACCACACTGTCCGATATTAGACGACAGACACGTAAAGAGAAATTGGCTGCTGTTTATCCAGTGCTTACTGCTGGAACAAAATCATTCTACACATGCAGTCTGTAGTTGATACAACAAAAGTAAAATAAATTGAATAATTATTTCACTTACCAGAATTAAGATGGTAAAGTTGCGTCATATTGTGATATAATAAGTATATATTAAATCTTGTCCGTCTAATCACAATAATTCTTATTAAATATTAAAATATTACAATAATTAACATTTCAACATTTAAAATATTCAAAATAATCAATGTAGCTAGAAATTTGTACAAATTGAATGATTCACTCACAGCGGCTGACCGCCTCAACGGATTTACTCCAACTAAGGTCTGTCGTCTGTGACGAACAGAGGCAAGACTCCGATACTTGACTGACAAGTTGTACGAACTAGCGACGTTTCGGAAAAGTAATGGACGCTGTCCGGCACTATACAACCTTCCCCTATATATTTTATCATAAGATTTAGAAATTTATTTAAGATATTTTTCGATTAATAAATGTCTAGCGACATACAGAGGATAACGTGTTTTTGATTACGTGCCATGCGAAGTAGCAACGTGTTGTATTATCAACTTTGCAGTCAGTGGACATAGGATTTAGGGAGGCAGTCAGGGTGGTAAGACGGTTCATCTAGAAAATATGTATACGCAGTTGGAGTATATTTTAATCTTTCAATGTTTATAATAATTATGAATATAGATTCTGGCCGCATTTGAGAATCGCATATCTGGATTAGTGGTGTTAGTAAAACCTGTGTATAAAAGTACCTTTTCGCTTCGTTTTGTTATGTCTTGGAACCACTTAAGATTTTACGCCATATTTGTGTTTTCTTACGTTGCCTGGCAGCCGAGCCCAGATTTGTCTTGTTCTTTGGGGTAAGAATGCGGCACAGTAACAGAATTAGGATCACACACTGTTCCCTGCACTGCCACATCAGTTGGTGCTGTCAGGATACGGAAATTGTAGTCATCGAAGTCAAGTTGGCTGTACAAGTACTGAGATAGTTTGTTCGAGAGAATCCAAACACTTTGACGCAACTCATGATCAATCTTTAGATCATTCGGAAAGTTCAGTCTCACGCTGTCTTTCCCCACAATACCAAGTAGTTCTGGTCTGTATCCGTAAGGTTGCTGCGAATTCCAGCAACCCACCGAATCTTGGGTTACAAGATTGAAAAATAGAATTCCTTGGCGATCCATTGCCTGAGCTGAGGAATGCCCATTCTTTGTCGCACGAGGTTCTCCGAGAGGCTGAAACGCAGCGGGATTGCTATCTGCGAGGGTTTTGTTTCTTATGTACGAGACAGGTACTGCAAACTCACGGAAACTTGACATTGGGTGGTACAGGAGAGTACGGTCATCCGCTTCGTGGTCGACTGGTGATAAAGCAATTCCAAAAATTCCATCAGTCCACCTCCAGTTGACGCCATGCAACGTGTAGCTGCTTGCAATTGGGTCCGGGTAAAATAAATGATGGTCGATTCTCCAAGAGCGATCTTCCTGCAAGCTGTATACGACTAAACCGAATCGCCACGAGTCTGTCATGTACACATAAGCTTTATCACATTTTCCTTGACGTACATCCACAACTATGTTCGTAAAAAGAGAGTTTTGCTTGGCTTGGGAGTCCGGAATCCTGTAACGCAGGATCATTTCGTCTGTGTTGAGGTCGAATGCGAGCAGTTGAGGTGGACAAGTCTGGCTCGTTGTTTTGGCGATGTCCGTGACACCAGAGTCCAGAACCCACAGCCTTCCACACGGGTCGACCGATACCCTGAGGACTGAGGTCATTCCGTAACAGTTGTTGTTGGCGTACCACGACCAGTTAGGGTATGGTTTGAATGGTGGTGATCGGTTACCTCCTGTCAGGGAAGAATCACGTGGTATAGTTGCCAGGGTAACGGGAATTCCATCCCGCCACTTTGGAAACGTTACGAATATCCTGTTCTTCCACACCTCTAGCCCAAGAGGCACGTTGTTCTGAGGCTTGAACGAACCACTGCGTATCGCTTCTTGACGCCTGAAACACAAATCATAGTCACAAGATGAATCCTAAGAGACACGGACTTCCCTGTGTATCTTTGGATCCATAGTGAGACTTTTGTGCTCATTATACTACATTAAGATTCCGCGGGATGGTACATGGGTGATGATAGATTTATTGATTGCAATGTGGCACACTTTGAAACGCCGTATACGAGGTGATGTAGGTCTTTGTTTAAGTTTGTATTGACATGATTTGTGTCTGTTGACGTTGGTTTAAGTACAATGTGTAGTTCAGATAGTTATTACCTGGCGTCGCTGGGATATTTGAAATCAACAGTTTTCCACAGGTAAAGTTCTTGTAATCTGGAGTTTTCTTTTGACGCTGATGCCGGAGACTCCCTGTAGTAAGTGGTCCCCACCTGATGGTTTGGCGGCGATGCCATTGACAGAGATACAATCAGTGGCAGGAAGAAGGCTGCCGACATTCCTGTCGACACAGGAGAAACATTATTAGAGGGCATGATGACACGTTTTACTCTTGATGAAATTTCCCATATTTCCTTTCCCTGTATAAAGTTCTTTTTGTAATAGTTCGTTAGGTAATGCCGTCAACTATTAGTTTTATCCTAAAGCAATCCTAGAAGTAAATGCGTAGTTATTAAATGCGTTGTTTGAAATTCTGAAAACGTTATTGCTTTCAGATATACATTTATTACAATAATTTTATTCACCGTCTTTACACAAGCTTATAGATTGTTAAAATCACATAAAATTATAACATTTCAACATTTGATATTGTTACATTTTAAAATGACGACATGTTTCGATGTTCATTCCATCATCGTCAGGTCTATCAATCAAAATTAAAAACTGTTGCATCTGCTGCTCTGCGTATACTGATTTTGTTCTACCCGTTAGATTTTATTTGTTTAACCTCCAGGCTTCTTCCATTTAATTTTGAGGGCTGCGCCTGGATGCCTTAAATCTGCAAAATCAATTTTAATTTTCATATCCTGATCCTGGCTACTGACATAGGAAATGGAATAATTTTAAAGAATTACTCAATATATCGTAATACAAGCAAAAGAAAAGTAATCACAAAATATTTAAAGTATTATAACATACCGGGTTGTGTGTGAGGTGCGTGTCCGATATTAATCTACCAAATACGTTTAACATAACAAATTCTATAAAATTAATAAACGAAATCCAACAATTGAATTTTCATAATAATAAAAATATACAAATTTGTTCTTTTGACATCAATAATATGTATACAAATATTCCAACAATCATGCTACGAGATATTGTAAGAGATATTCTAAATAGACAGAATATAAATACAGATCTAATAAATGAAATTACAAATATAACTAACATTATTATTAACCAAAATTATTTCCAATTCAACAATGAATATTGGAAACAAGAAACAGGGTTACCCATGGGAGCTCCAACCTCGAGCATATTATCTGAAATATTCTTACAATATCTCGAGCATGATTATATAGTAAATATATTAAACAAATATCAAATCAAATACTATAGTAGATATGTTGATGATATACTCATGATTTTTGATGCAAAAAATACAAATATAAAAAATGTTTTAAATGAATTTAACAACATAAATCAAAATATACAATTCACTTTAGAAACAGAACAAAATAACAAATTAAATTATTTAGATCTAACTATAATACGAAACGAAAACAACTCTGAATTCAAAATATACAGAAAACCTACAAATACAAGCACCATAATTCATGCCTCTTCATGCCATCCAAATGAACATTAACAAATGGCTATTAATTACTTAATAAACCGAAAAAATACATATCCCATGACCACAATAAACAAACAAATTGAATGTAACATAATAAAACAAATTCTAATAGAAAACGGATATAATAATTATGAATTAAAACCCAAAAATAAAATAAACAATGTAAACAACATAAATGAAGACAAAAACGAAAATAAACAAAACAAATGGGCCACATTCACATATATAGGAAAAGAAACCAAATATATAACAAAAACATTTAAAACAAATAACATAAAAATAGCATTTAGAACAAAAAACACAATAAAAAACATCTTGAAACAAAAGCCACAAATAGACACAACAAATCAATACGAAAAACCAGGCATATATAGGTTAAAATGCAATGATTGCCCGTTAACCTATATAGGCCAAACCGGACGCACCTTTAGTCAAAGATACAAAGAGCATATTACAGCAATTAAACACAATAAAGATCATTCAGCATATGCAAAGCATATATTAAACACAGGACATACATACAACAAAATAGAACAAACAATGGACATTATAAAAATAATACAAAACAAGCGACATAGAGACACCATAGAAAAATATCATATACAAAGAACACATAAACAAAATCTTGCATTAAACGACAGTAACATCTACACGAACAATCCGATATTTAACATTCTACAGTCCATCGACCCAACCCCCTAAACAACTTTCACCCAATATATATAGCCATACACGATACTCACAGCTTAGTTGCAGTCTACAGCTCCGTAATATCGGACACGCACCTCACACACAACCCGGTATGTTATAATACTTTAAATATTTTGTGATTACTTTTCTTTTGCTTGTATTACGATATATTGAGTAATTCTTTAAAATTATTCCATTTCCTATGTCAGTAGCCAGGATCAGGATATGAAAATTAAAATTGATTTTGCAGATTTAAGACATCCAGGCGCAGTCTTCAAAAATTAAACGGAAGAAGCCTGGAGGTTAAACAAATAAAATCTATCGGGTAGAACAAATCAGTATACGCAGGGCAGCAAGTGCAACAGTTTTTAATTTTAATTGATAGACCTGACGATGATGGAATGAACATGGAAACATGTCGTCATTTTAAAATGTAACAATATCATATGTTGAAATGTTATAATTTTATGTGATTTTAACAATCTATAAGCTTGTGTAAAGACGGTGAATAAAATTATTGTATTGAAGAACACAAGCATGACGCAATTAAGATATAAGTTACCTTTGCACGTTGCACCAAGTACTACACCATACGCCATTCAAAGTAAGGTGATGAACGATACCGCAACACACACAAAGAGCCATTCGCCTCGAGTCCCCTCCAGAACAGGCCGCATCCACTCGTACGTGTCCGATGCACTGGCGTACATGAAACACAAACACAGATTATAAGTCAAACATACCAACCAGCAATCGCCAATGCTCAGAACTTGGATCCATAAAATGGAAAGAAAACAACACACTCGCACCATAATTTAACTGTATCACCCTTTTTTAAGTTAAAAGGGGGAGGCTCTTAGTGTCATTACATCCACCGGCAATCCCATTTTACGTAAACTGGATGTAAATGATCAATGATAAGGAGATATAAATACAATACCAATTTCAAAAGAATCAAACATGAGCATACATTTACAAAGTTCAAAACCACGACAACGAAGACTGAACCAATCTGACTCAAGTGATATCTCAACCTCTCACAAGAAATAAATAAAACACTCTCTCAAAAAAAAAGAAACTCGCCCTCAGTCTCTCACCGAGAGATAGGGAAGCTACCTTACCTATCCTGGAAATCCTCTTTCTTGGCCAAATTAAAATACCAATGCCAAACACATAAAATGAAGGCAGAGCTACCTCCAATGGAAAACATGGTAGAATACTATTATTATTATTATTCAGTGTTCTGTCTTACGACAAGTCCTTCAAACTGTGAAACTTGTTTATTGTTACGAAACATAGAAACTCTTCTGACTCTTTTATGTGCCTTAGTAAACAGTGTAGAAATTAATGCGATTTATGTTTTCATATATGTGTTTTTGTAGTACTGTGAACTACCTTCCAAAAAACTGTTGATCAATGAGATTCGAGACTAATTTAAATTAGTTATATTTGACCGAAACGAATTAAGTAAAGCTTGCTTTAAAACTTGCAATACAAGACACAGTTCCATTGAAATCAACCGAGTGAGAAGTTTCGGAGATGAAAATGTTAATGCAGTTAGGTTCCCAGAACACGTTCATGAACTTCATGAAAACGATTCATAGGCCTATAAACCACCGATGTATTCCAATAATTTGATCTTTCTTCGTGCAATGAAATAAATGTACAAATTGTTAAAAGATCGGAACTGTTTAGAAACTTGTCTGGTGAAATTAATTTTAGAGTTGCAGTTTCCAGTCACTTGGCCGGTAGGCGTCGTGTGACACAACAGCTCTTACTACACTGCCGATTTCACTATTTTTTTATAAGTAGTGTTTACACACACACACACACACACACACACACTTGTTTGTGTTTTGTTTCCGTAATCCCCACCGAACTTACATTTCCTGCGTGACGGAATCTTGTGTGGACAAAACCATTCATTTTCCAAGAGATATTTGAGCTGTCTGTGGGTCGTTGCATATTCTGTCTAGACTAGATATACATCCTAATCCTACCAGGATTGGGAAAAATCTCGCACATCATCTGTCACGAAAAAGAAAGAAAGAAAGAAAGAAAGCATTCAGCGACTATGAAAACATTATTGGCAAGTTTAAAAAAAGCTCTGAACGTGGTGCACAGCAGGTGGTTTTATCTCCCAATTTAATTGTATCCGTCCAAAATTAAACTTCACGACAGAAATTCTGAAGCATTGTCATTCGTACAAGCCTCATTTATGGAAGATGTAGCGTAACATCCGAATGCAAGACAATACAAAGCAAAGAACAAGAATGTCTTTGTACAGGATCCACTTCCTTAATTTGCTGGTTGGATAATATCTGTTCCACACCATTAAAACTGATCGCCCTAAAAGTGCGTATTGCATTCGTTCGCCTTGAAAGCTTCAAATCTTATATCCTTATTCGTGTTTGATTTCCCACGTTCAGGAGCTTCTCCATACATTTTTATCAATAATTGAGATGTCTTTTCCCTGCCAAACTGTTTTCTTGTTGAGGAAGTACAAAAGCTGTATGTATAAGTAGAGGCCTGACTTTTCACTTTACCAGCACCCAGTAACAGGAAAACAGATGTTTCTTAATTATGCAACTCATTCCCTTCACTACATCCACGACAAGTCAGTATGTAAGTGCATCTCTCGGTTGCCTTTCGTTTTAAATACCACGTGCTCTAATTTAGCAGACAAGCCGCTGTGTCGATTTTAAGAACATATTTAAATGTACGAAAGGCTCCGTCAGTATTTCTGACAAACACGGAGTATAAAAGATGCCAAGTTGTAAGAACTTTATGCATTTGTAAGCGCTGTTTTATTGGAGATACCCGTACGAAAATAAGTCGGCTTTGAATCGGTTTTAGCCATGCCGAATGCAACACACTGCCACTGGTCAGCTCGAAGATTGTCCAGGTAGCCCAAAACCGCGAACATTCACACTGAAGTAGTTTATAGACTACATGTCAATGAAGGAACTCTTTTTTAAGGGTCTGTAGACAATTTTGGAATATTTTATAGTACAGTCTCTTCATAAGTATTAATAAGTTTAATTCTATGCAAATATTAAGCGACTGATTCATGGGTGTGTGGATAAAATATCTGTACGAGATTGTTAGTGCTATGTGAACTGAAGAATGAATCTTGTATACGCATTTTTTTTCGGAACTACAATCAGCTGGTTCCGCCGGCCTGTGTTCTTGATGAGAAAGTTGTCTGTCTGCACGCATCAGTTGAGTTACCAGACCTGTCTGGTTGTTTCAAGACTCACACCTTCGATCTCAGTAGCAATGAAATCCTTCAAGCGGCGAGAGTTTTTGTTGTGTCTGGATGCGTTGTTGTCCAGATGGAGTATGTTCTTGCAAGACACTTGATCTGTGCAAAAAATAATCCCGTCTGACAGGTACTACGTTCATTGAAGGGAGGGGTTACGTAAACTTTCTCGTATTTACATTAATTCTTTATAAGAGTCCAGCTGTTCGATTCAGTCATGACGTTAAATAAGTTAATGTCTGCAGTTGGAACAGCGTCGTTAAGTAACATCAGAACCAAGCTTATATCGTTTATTATCGTATTTATTTGGACAACACTGATATATCCTTTATACATTCCCACCATTTTAAGCCTAAGACTCGTGTATTGTAGATAGATATTTCTATGAATTGTTAACCAGATAAGAAGTAGGACTTTCTGGAACGAGGCTCAGACTATCGTAAGATATGTAATCGCACAATAATGCAGAGAATAACGATGAAAGACAAACCATGCCTTGCGCTGGATTCGAACCAACATTCTCAGTGTTCGAGCAGCCAGAGACGATGCGTGGTTTACAAAATCGAGATCGCCCTATAGATATATCTGATTTAAAATAAAAGCAGTAAAATGAAACAGTACCCTGAAGCCTACCTTGTTCCGGTATTCCCCTGAGGATTCCACAAGTTACAGCTTTAATCAGTTCTGAGCCGGCGTCACGCCTCGCCACCTACATATATACAGACGACAGGGCTGAAGACTGACGTACAGGGAGGGGAAAAGATAAGTATTTCAACATGACATGGCAGTCGTCTGGATCAAATCTCATTTTAACGTAAGGCCCCCCATCTAATTTACTCTGTTGAAGAATATCCTTGAGAGAAACCGTTAGTCCTTCCCTGGACCTAATTGAGTCGCATTCACAGGAGCCCGCGACTGATCCTTATCCAGAGCAAGTTGGACGCAGTCCACAACCTCACATCCTGTTTCTTTTGTGTCATTGTTAATGTTGTTTCGACGAACTTTTCGTATGCCCTTATCGCCTTTTTCCCATGCATGCTACACGTTCCGCTCATCTCAGCCTCTTGATATTATCGCCCTAATAAAACAGGGCGAAGAACGTAGATGTTGAAGCTCCTTATCATGTACTTCATCATCCTGATACGTGTTTCTTAGGCCCAGTATTCTTCTCAACACTTCATTCTCAATCGCTGTC